CCTTCTTCCCCTCGAGGAAGCATTAATGACCCTGAAATGAGAAGCCAAAGCTCTTACCAGCCCCTCTTCTCTCCTACTCCTTGTCCCTAGGCAAAACAGGAACCACAAACCCCAGCTTCCTCTCACAGAGTGGCTGTGGCTTAGGGGGAGCCGGAAATGGCTGAGGTGTGAATACAAGACCTGAGTCACTTGAGCTGCAGTTGCCACACGCCCCATCCCCCGTCCCCAATTCTGAGGTCTCCTGCTCCCATGTTTTTCTTTATGGCTTCCCCCCTTGCCCTTCAGCTCCAAATATGCACCTGAGTCCCCTGTGTGATGCACACCCATTTCCCAGCCAGGGCTGGAAGCTGCTCTGTGCATTGCAGAGGGTGGGCAGGGCCTGAACAGGGGATGCGTCAGGGAGACACAGGGGAAGAGGAAGTGTCTTGGGCCCGGGGAAGACGGGCTTGTCTCGGTGGGTGGGGACGGTCATTTGTCAGCTTTCTGGACACACAGACAGAGACAGACAAGATGGATTTCCTCCGGCTACATCTCCCTGGGCTGCATCAGGCCTTGCGGGGAGCACTGGTGAGAGGGGCAAAGAGATGCCAGAGCCTTTCACCCTGCTCCCTGGGGCCTCACCTTCCCTCCTCCCTTTGAGACTCTCCTCAGACTTGACATCCCTTTCCCAGGACCAGGTAGCCTCCTAGCCTGATCGTTTCTGGATTTCAATCCCCATACCTCCATAGACACATCCATCTACCCCTAATCTAGCCCTTTCTTCTTCCTTCTGCAAATCCAATTCTCTTTCCCCTCCCAGATCCCAGAACCCCTCTTCTGTGGCCCGAGTTCCTCTGGGTCAGGGTCCCAAGAAGGAGGACTGGGGGAGAGGGCCTCCCCTTAATGCCTTTTTCCCCTCCCCCTCTCCTGTTCTAGGATTCCCTCAGCTCCTTTGTCTCCTACCTTATGGGAGATGAGGTCCCCACTGCAGAGAGGAAGGAGGCGAGGGCAGCCGAGGAGCTGGGGGAGGTGGCTGCAGGAAGGCCAGGGAAGCATGAAGAGAAGGAAGCCCAGGAGGCCCTGGAGGGCCTTGGAGGCAGCCAAAACCAGGAGGCTGGAGGGCTGAGAGGGCCTGGGGAGGCTGGAAGACGCCAGGACGGAAGTTCAGCAACAGAACAGACCTGGGGTTGGGAAGAAGGCAGCTCCCATGGGTCTCAGGCAGACAGGCAGGACACTGGGGTCTGGGAGGCAGTCAAGGCTGCCAGGTGCCAGGAGCCAAGGGCCCACTTAGAGGCCAGAAAGGAGTCCAAGACAGGGTCTGAGGCTGTTCGAGACAACAGCAGTCAAGCCCGGGAGAGTCAAGGGCCCAATGAGCAGGAAGTGAACACAGAGGAGACACCGAGAACCTGGGAACAGGAGGAGGAGGCGGAAGAGGTCAGGGAAAGAAAACCAGAGGTGGCCAGGAAGGCGGAGTCAGAGTGGACCTGGCACCGGGAGCCTGAGGGGGAGGTAGGTGCTGATGGGCAAAAGGTAGCAGGGGACGGCAGGGGGTCATTAGAGCAAACGGTCAAGGAGGCAGTTGCAGAGGAGATCCAGGGGTCTGGAACCAAAGAGGCCGGGAAGGAAGTAGAGGTGATGGTGGTCCTAAGGGGTAGCCCAAGCACAAGGGCACGGGAAGCATGGGAGTCAGGGACAGAATCTGAGGACGGGACAGCCTCAGGCAGGGAGGAAGCCAGGACAGTCTCAGACAGGGAGGAGGACGGGACAACCTCAGGCAGAGTGGAGGATGGGAGAGCCTCAGACAGTGGGGAGGAC